TTTGGCAATAAAAAGGAATGATGTCCCCATATAAGGAATACCATGGGTGACCCTTTTAAAACATTATGCTAAGTGAAAAATGTAACTCGTGAAGGACCACATAAATTATTATTCCATTTATCGAATTTTACAGAAAAATAAAATTTATAGTCAAGGAAATTAAATTAGTAGTTGCTTAGGGCAGGTGGGATGGAGAAATTCAGGGTGGAGAGATGAAAGCTAAAGTGCACAGAGATTCATTTTGGGAGATAAAACTATTTGTTGTAGTGGTTGCACAATTCTTTGAGTGTTTTTGAAACATTTTTAATTTTAATCAATCATTTGGTTAAAATTTGCATAAACATTACATATCAAGAAATTTTTACCAAAAAATCTTTGATCCATTGGATACAAGAAGAAATAATGACTCAAGCTATGTAATTACCTTGTTCCAGTTCTGTGTCATGGGACTGCCAGACCCAGGAGCCTCTCACTTGCCCACTATTCTTGACAGTCCCTAACATATATTAAAATACAGCTTACTTTGCACATGCAAGCATGAAAATCAGCTAGGAGTAAAGGCATTAAAAACAGAAGGGACATTTAACAAACTTGAGTTTAAATAAGAGTGCATCTTATTTGCGTTTTCTTCCACTTAAAAACCACAAGCTCAACATTGTTCAAATGCTGTATAACTTTTACGTATATAGTTGAATTTAAACGGATTGGAATTTATCTTGATTATAAGGTAATGAAGAAATGACAGAGGAAACCAGGCCACCTGGAAAAAACATTTGATCTTCACTAGGATTGGCATGAAATGGACTTCAGTTCTTTCTTGCTTGATGCAATAGTGGCTTTACTTACTTGGGACTTGTGAAAGGTGCTGGTGGGTGGCCACAGATACAGCCACTGGATGACATGAAAGACATCCTGGATGAACTTGTCGCAGACAGGTCATGAGGTGGACGTATTACACATTCTGCTTCCATTCTCGTTGATCCGAAAAAACAACCAGTATTAATTTGAAGTTTTCTAATCTGTAGCTAAAAGTGATTGAAGATGTTTTCACACAACTGACGACTAAATGGACAAATAATGGAATCTTCAAAAGATACATTTTGTCATTATTTTTCAACAAGTACAAAATTGGCATGGGGATTTTCTAAGTTAAAGAAGATCTGTAAAAGATGCAGTTTTTAAACCAAAAAGCTTATGACAAGGCTACAAGAGTCAAAGTTTGATTTGTTCTTGCAGATCCCATGCTCTTGTGCGGTGAGCTGCGGCTGAGATACTTAAAACACCCCTTGTGTACCAGTCTCCGCTTCCTCTCCTGCTACCAATATGAAGTCCGGTGGAGATTCTATTCCCTCCTTCCTATGTCCTATAGTTTATGTCAGAATTAAGTGATCAATACATTCTGGAGAGGATAAAAAATATGATATATGTGCTTAATTGTTGACTTTTGGTTCCAAACAATTAATGCTGAAAGTGGGATCAGTTCTACAGTGAGTATAGGTAAGTCATGTTTTTAAATGGTGGTTTAATCATTCCTGTCTTTCCTTATGCCTTGGCAGCTGAGTTGTATGTGACTATGAAATCAGACGAGTGTATGTTTTCTAAATGCAATTATGAAATGAAAATATAAGATGATATTCATCTCAGAAATATTATTCAAAATTATCGATCAGTTAAGAACCTTGTGCCATCCTTCTACAGTATATCGATCAGTCATAAGTGCAAATTAAACATTTAGCATTCTTGAGCAATCTAGTAACTACTTTATTATACATTTTCTTCATCCCTAACAAAAGTTAATGGACACATCAAGAAACAACTTGATGAAGGCAGACGTGTAGATTGAGGAGTTAAACATTGTTCTAGCACAACTATTAATGTAGCATTGAGGAAGTTGCTTCTCCTCATGTACCTTAATTTCATTATTTGGAAATTAAAATATTTTTTCTATAGAACCAAAACAATTCCTTAACAGCTGAGAGACAGGTCTGTCTCAGAAGGGAACAACTAAAATGTGAACTTTCCAATGTTTTCATGTTCCTTCACTAAAGGCTTGGAGATTATCTGTTTTAAAGCCTAAAATCTTACTGATGTGTAAACATCCAAGTTTGTGTCTATATTTTATTAAATTATATGTCTACATTAAGTAAAATCTAACCCAATGAGGGGTAGTAAATTCTATAGATTTCTACAATTTTTAAAGAATTTTAGATTCCATGTATAAATATTATGTATTTATTCTTGAAATACTAATATTATTAAGATCTTCACATGAACCCAAAGAAGTAGTATGTACAAGGATTTCAACCATATTTTCACACAAACTCTTTATAAATTTGGAGAATAAACAAAGATCCTGAGACTACCTTCATAAATCATTGACACTATATTCAGTGCTTATTACAATGAAGTTTTCATGGGTTTGTTAGGATTAATTGATACCAGAGCTAAAAGACATGTGTAAATGTATATTTGTTAGTACAACAGCTTTAGAAAACAAGCAAATGCATGGGTAATTCCAGAGTGGCTCATATTTATAATTACTGATGATTGTGAATAAACTGATGTGATATTAGAGACACAGTCTTCCTCCAAAATTCTCTTAGCACTACTTTTCTATACAAACCTATGAGTCAACCAATATAGTACATGGGGAAGTTAAATCAATGCCCTTTTACATAAATATGTGTATCATGTTTTTTTAATCACACAAACACTTTATATATTCTTTGCTAATTATTACAACTCCTTTCAGGAATTACTTTTAATATTCTCAATGAAACCTCTGTGTCGTCTATGTTTCTATTCTTCCCTTCAGGCAGACCCACAAAAAAAAACCCCGTTTTTTTTTCCCCGATGAGACAAATGAAGAAACATATGTGGCTTATTCGAACCCTATTGGAATTGAAATTTCGCCCACCTTACCTAAGGTTCATTTCGTTGGCGGACTCCCATTGCAAACCTTGCCAAACCCCTGCCTAAGGTGAATATATTCCTACCTTGTTTGGTTTTGTTAATTATTGTAAGAGTTGAGGAACACTGTCCTCACCATATAAAGCGTCCCAAATATTTGACAACAAAACTTAATGTTTTACTTATTCACTCAACAGCCATTGAAACCATTCCTCACTGAGAACCCAGAGTTTTTACCTCTTAGATGCACCAAAGGGAAAGGTTTACTTATCAGACAGGTGTTTCCTGCCCTACGGCCAAGTCCTGTAGGACACCTCAATAAGCTGCTGGGGAAACCTTTGCCTCAACCTCAATAATTGCCCTAAGAGAGAAGCACAGAGAAATGTGCAGTGTGTATATAA